TTTTAATGCTTTCAGAGTAGGGACTTTGTTGGCGTCCAATTGGTTGTTTGGTAATAACTCTCCTAGCCTTGCCAAGCCGTAGAATGCTAAAAGGGCTATTGCCCAAAATAGGAGGTCAGTCTTGTTGATCATATTAAGTTGCTGTTTATTTGTGTGAGATAATTTCAAGTAATGTGAGTTTTCTGATTCACTGGTTGGTGGAAGTGTGTTTCTTCGATAGTCTTGAGTAGCTGTGTGATGAGGGAGTTGTGACAGACCTGGACCAATCATGGTGGTTTCTTTTGTGGTGATAATTCAGGGCGGACAGGTATGTAGTAATAGTGGGGGGCGTGACACTTATGTGGAGAAAGGTAATATACTTGATAAGAGATCGTGTGGATATGGGCCACACTGATTCTACTGCTGTTGGTCCATTGGTTAGAGATAGCGAGATTTTCGTATCGCTTAATTATGGCCTCGTAGGCTTTTCTGGAGAGGGTTGGTATGTTGAGTAGCTGTGTAGCTTGGGTGTCAAGGGGGGTATAGTCCCGAAAGAGTTGGTTTTGATGGAGTTGGGTGGCAGTGATGGGGTGGGGTGCGTGTTGCTACGCTCTATTGTTTTAAAGATAGAATTATTGAGGTTAGTATTTTGTATGTATCTGGAATGTTGGGTTGGAGGTAACGGGCATGTGGGTTGTCTCTAATGAACTCTCGGTGTTTATTTCTTGCGTCATAGTTGTGTATACTGGGTATGTGTTCGAGTTTAATAGTGAAGTTTTCTTGAACTTGTGAATTGTATATTAGAGCGATCAGTTTGTTGATGTTGGGATTTTTGCAGTATCCGGCGTAATATACTTCCGCGTTTGAGAGGTTGTTGGTCCAAATTATGAGCTTGTTTCTTTTCCACATTGGGGCGAAGGTGCGTATGGCAATGAGTGTGGTTAGAAGTTCGCGTGTTTGGATATTGGTTTTGTTGAGATCAATATCGTTGGCCCATGCAAAAGCGGTGAAGTAGTTGCGGTATACTGCCTCTCTATCTATGTCGGATGTGTCTGTGAAGAGGTTGAGGGTGGTAAGCTGGTTCCATTTTTGGTCTTGTAGTAGGTGTATGCCGGACCAGCTCTGTAAGGTGGTTATCCAACATTGAAAATCGCAGGCTATGGGTTTGGTAATATGAATGTGGAACTTTGGATTGTTGGCTATTTCTTGGGCTTTAATGAGGCATTGAATGAATGGTCTTCCTTGTGGTATAATTTGGCATACCCATACTAGGGAGCCTACGATCGATTAAAGCTCCTTGCGAAAGTACTATTTCTTGTTTGACCACTGGCGGACTAAGATAATTAATTTTTCGTGCTTTGGAAGCAGAATTGATGCTTTTATAGTCTGTGTATTTAGCTCGATGCCTAAGAAAGTTACGTTTGTGCATGGGCCTTCTAGTTTTTTGAGCTTGTAAGGTATGTTGAGAATGCTGAGGATACGCAAAAATTGTTGAAGCTCTCTATTACCGTCAGTTGGGGAGATGATAAAAAAATCGTCAATGTAATAGATTAAAGCTGGAATGCCTTGTTGGGAGGCAATCCAAGCAATGGTGTCAGCAAAGCGACAAAAAATGCCGCCGGAAGTGCGGTTGCCGAAGGCGAGTACCTTATCGAAGTATAGGTTGGTGCCGTGGCAAAAGCCTTGAAGAATTTGATCGACAGGGTGGACAGGAAAGATTTTGTAAGTTTCTTTGATATTAATTTTTGACAATGAGCATCCGTTGCTGAAGTGGTTAATCCAATGTATGGCGTGGTTTACATTTTCGTACTTCATGGAGAACTCGAGTTTGTCGATTCTGTCATTTATGCTGTTTTCTCGGGGAGAAGACAGGTGGAAATAACCCGGTATTTCTTGGGTTGGTGTCTTTCTTCTTAACAAGGCCACAAGAGTTGACCTGGAATAGGTTTCAAGGAGGGTTGTTTATGTGAAATGGGGCGCAGATGCGTTTGTTGGTGAGTTCTTCCGAAATATACGTTGTGAAAGCTTCGGATGCCAGGTTTATTGACTGTAGGTTGTCCTAAATTAACCGGTTTCATTGGCCTTTAAAATTAAACCTGAAACCCTGTTGGATGCCATTGATGATGTAGCTAATAAATAGCCGGTTGGAATGTATTTGTGTAAGGTGGAGAGCTTGGATGTTTATAGGCGTTTGGATATTAAAATGCGCGGGTCGAGTTGCCGAAGTAAGGTTGACTCGATGTCTGTCAAGGGTATGAGAGGTGAGGAAGTATTGGTGATTGTTTCGTTGACAGATTGAAGCATGGGAGGTTCGTTAGTTGTGATGTTTTGTAATAGGTTGAACTGTGCTGTGTGCTTGAATGTGAGATAGTGGGCTTGTGCTGTGTCTGCGATGAAGAGGATAATATGTACGGAAGTTAATATGGTTGTCGGTATGTTATTGATATATATATATATTTTTTTTTTTTTTTTTTTATAATTATTGTTATTGTCTATGTATTTTTGTGGTTATTTGTTCTGTCTTATATTATCATTACTACATGTTATTATTATTATTATTATTATTATTATTATTATTATTATTATTATTA